TTTTACACAGGGTACTGAAACAAGATGACCAGATGCCAAACAGGCTTGTATTAGTCTAACTCCCTTTCTTTGTGGCGCAGGTCCTGTGCACGGAGACAGTACGCACAGAGATCACTGACATTCTGAAGTTTGCTCAGGAAAACCAAAACTGATTTGGGATGTGCTGACACATACTTGCCAACAGTGGCCCCGGGGTATGATGTGCGAGCGAATTCAAGATTATAGAAGAGCCAGTTCTGAAACGTACTGATTTCCAAATTCAGGGCCAAACTGTTGGAAAATTCAAAATTCTTTGCCAAATTCAGGGCGCAACATCGGGCGCAAAAAAGCGCAATCGGGCGCAAAAAAGCGCAATCGGGCGCAAACTAAATAAATGCCCCTTTTGGTCATTGTGAAAGCGCTAACATCGAGCATTTTTCAAAGAACATTGAAAAAAACATTGGCCACCCAAGTCATTTGACAATTGGCATCCATGGAAAGTATGGCAACTGTTTTTTTTTGCAGGGTTTTTGGCTTCCAGTTTGCCAGCGCACCCCGGTGAGATGACTGACACAAGGACTTCCTCTAGCAACACGTTGCTTGAAGGGATGGACCAGGTCAGACGTCCGGCTGCTGAGCTTCCTACTTCTCGTAAGCGCGAACTTGAGGACAAGATTCGTGTCACCTGCCAGCATTTTTGCATGTGCAGCATGGGGTATTTTAAGGGATCCATGTGCGCACCAATAGGCACAAGTTTAGAAACACGATAAGTGCTCCTAAAGTGAGAGGTTGAGAGATGTGCCAAGTTATGTAGCGACATATGTTTTGGAGTTGCCCTTTGTCAACCGCTTGGTGGACTTCCAAAACCTGCTTCCAGGAATTTTGGAAACCCTTTGTCAAGCGTTTGGACTTCCAAAACCTGCTTCCGTTTTGGGAACGTTTCCAGAACAATAGAAAAAGTAACAAACTAGCTGGATTCCAAAACTTTTGCCTATTAAATTCACATGCATGATGCTGGTTTAATCTAAGGCGAGCCAAGCTCGGATTGAGGCTTTGCGCCGAAGGATTTCCAACCAGGCAAATTCCTGGGTGCCTGATGATGAGGTCCCTGGGGCCCCTTGTGTTGCCCAATTCTCCGGGGCTTACAGTGCTGGGAACCCTCGGGATGGCCCTGCTTCACCTGGGAGTGTGGCCCCAACACAGACTTACCCCGTACCACCACAAGTAGAGTTCATGACTCCTCCTCAATCTGCCCCAGTCCCAAGCCCAGCTATGACTGTGACACCTGAGCCGGCTGTTCCAGCCCCGACCCCAGCCACAGAGACGAGCGTACCTGGCCATGCTGATCGTCCTCCTTCTGTCGAAGTGCCTGGCGCGAGCAGCGAACAGGCCCCACTTGTGACCTTGACTCAGGTCCCTGCACCAGAGGATGTTGGTACTGGGGATTCTGTCTCACAAGCTGAACTTCCAGATGAACCGGATCAAGTGGCAGGCAATCCTTATTGGAAGTTTCTAAGCATATATTTATCTATGCTAACATGATGAACTGCTATCGAAGAAAGCCAATGGGGGGCTGTTGATATGAAAGTGGACCCAAGGTTGCGGCGATACTTTCGTCCAAAGGCTGATGGTTCTCTCAAGTGCTCGCCGCAAGCTCTTCAGATGTGGAAGGATCCAGATCAAAGCATTTTGGCTATTACTTACTGACAAAAAATATCTTCGTACGTGAATTTACAAAAATTCCCTGAATGAGGACTCCAAACCCTTTCCTGATTCCCCATAGCAATTTTCCCGTCGGCTAGCCACCACTAAAAAAAACATCCATAAAGAAAAAGTGCTAAAAGGGGGGGGTGGGTTCCTTTTTGGGTGTTTTTGGCTTTTTGGGCAAGCCAATAGGAAAATTACAAATTCCCCATGTTTAAAAAAGGATGGTCACGCACTCCATGTATTTGGAATCCCCATGATGAATCCCGGTTCACAGGCAAATTCCTTGGTTGACTTGTTTAGAAAGGACCCCATGTCGATTTAATCATGGTGTAGTTAAGATGGCACTAGCGGGGAAAGCCAGGGTTGATATGCAATATTATAATTTCAGGCATGGCAAGATGTATACGCCCACGCATGCTACTTGGGACCACAGTTGGGGCTTCAAACGGTTTTATAAAATTATGGTTACATACCCCCACTAGTTGAGACATAGCCCCCATAACCCATGTTTAATATAAATATATATATATGTATATATGTCCATCTATAACCGTAACTTGTCCCAATACATCCAGCAGCAAGCCTGCTCAGGAAAGGAGCTGAAGAAGATGTTCCTGGAGCATGGTTCGTTTGAAAGTCTTGAGATTCGCATCAAGAAGAAGCACATCGAGAGCCAGTCTCGTGCGAAGTCTGGTGGGTGGTATACAAAGGGGCAGCTCGAGGGGCAACACCAGTGGACTAAGACCCAGCCTCAGTTTTGTAAAATGTTGTGGAAGCTCCCATATAGGCTGATGCATTTTTACCAAATCCCTATACTTGGGACTAAGGAAAATGGTGGAACGTGCCTTTCAATGGGCAGAGCAAAATAAGAAGACCCGGGTGAATGCTGTTCATGGGGAGCCTGAAGCGTTCCTATTGATTTCGGACACAGTTGCCTTCACCAGTACGGACATAGAAGAAAATGAGCAATCTGGCGCCATCGAATGTGAGGATCTGGATTTTAATTTTCTTGGCTGGTACCCTCCTATTGCCATTCATTTTTTAAGACCCAGGGATATTATTTTTCGGGGTACATGAGCTTGGGATCCTTCCCGAAACTCTTGGGATCCTTCCCGAAACTCGTTTACAAAAAGATTGGATTCCACAATGGGTTTGCCCAAATTACATCTCGCAGGATCCACAGGGCACCCTCTTGGACACCAACATGACCAACATCAACGCTGGTGACGATGCCTTGTTGAGCAGTGCCCCCGGTGCATCTTCGTCCTCCGGGAATGGGGTTCCGGGCCCATCCAATGCGGGCACGATGGCCACAGCTGGGGTGATGAGTTTCAAGAATTTTGGTTTGTTCAATGGTCTCATTTTGGCTTATGTCGTTGGTAATGGTCTTTCAAATTTTAATATAGACTGATGACTGGTTCTCATTCATTATCCATCCAATGGGTGCACGGTTGCTGATGTAAATATATCGAAATATATCGATATCTATAGCGCAATGGTCTTTAAATCGGTCATGACAACCTAGTGGAATAGAAGCCTGGGTGTCGGGGGATCTAGCTAGCCCAGGATGACGTTTCCTACGCTGGTGGCCAACGCGTCGCCTTTGATGATTCTCCCACAATTCGTGGAAGTTCTGGGCAAGAAGATTGATAAGATTAACACTGAGCTGGACAGAATGGGTTTATACACAAAATAATGGAAATTGTCCCTTCAGCCTAGTGGTTGTAAGATGGTTCAGCCGCTGGCAGGACCGTCTGCGGCAAGTGCAAACCAAACCTGCACAGGGGTTCCTGGTTGCAACAAACAACCGTTGAAACACATGCTAGTTCTTTTATTGGCTTGCATCGTTCTAGTAGAAAATCAGAAAATCGATTGATATTATGCCGCTTGTCGCCCAAGGTTGGTGAAAGCTATGACTGAGCAGTTGGAGAAGATGCAGAACCAATACGATGCTTTGGCAAACCAAATGTCTGAAGCAACAGTTCACCCAGAAGCCATGGACCAGCCTTTTGTCTACATATACGGGTGGTTGATGTGCACTTTTATCCATTATGAAAACTCATTCGCGATATCTGATGCATTTGTAATTTTGCATCATGTTCTATCCACTGGTTCTCTTTCCCAGGTCATTTCGCAATGCGGTCCAGCAGAACTTTGTGAATTGCACGAAGCTGGATGTTGGCATGAACAGCTTGGTCCAGCGTTCAAAGAGTCTTGATTAAAATGTAGCACAATTGGGTAAACCCATGATCGTGTCATTAAACCAAAAAAACAACTATAGGTATCAAGTGTATCAAGACTCTTGGATCTTGATGACCCTTACCCCCTGCCATCCAAGGGGTATGCGGCCGTCCTCAGCTTCGTCATCTGCGCCGCCTCGACCTAAAGCAGCTGTGAAGGCTAAGGCGAAAGCCAAGGCCAAGGTTAAGAGTTCGTCTTGCAGACCCAAAAGGGAGGCCGATGCCTAGGCATCTACATATATGTGACTTTTGATGGAGTGCAGTTGTGTGCCAATCTTCACACATGCACCTTTGACCTGTGGGGCTCGCGTGATCAATCATGATCTCTAGCGTGAATGCTTTGCCTTTTTAGCTTGTTCAATTGTTTTCGCATACAGCCTGAAACAACTGTTTGGTGGAAGAAAGGCATCGCATTCGTCCATTTGAAAATTCCAGTGCAGCTTTCGCTATTGCCACACGGCAACACCTACCCTCGGACCATTGGGGACCAGCTTAGTGATGTTCGATGCAAAATGCAAGGGGCAAACAAAAGAGAGTAATTTGCCTGCTTCAATTTTGTTACACCCTCGGTTGTTACACCACTAAACCCCAGCTAGCGGACGTGTTGCCAGGTCATCGCGAAACTGAGCTTGACCGTGGATTCTTGGTTGCATTAGCTTACCCCACTGCTATAATATATACTGCTATCCCTTGTTTCATTTCTAACAAGAGAAGCCTGTCTAAATATAAAAGGCCTCAGCTTTGCCTGCATGTAGTTCATGCCCATTCTTAGTTTCAGGGATGCCCATTCTTAGTTTGGGGGATTGAATGCAAACCCTCAGGAAATTTTTCTGGTGAAGATTCACCTGCTGAAGACCTATGCACGGATTTTGTGGACAGCTTTGCCACTGGTGCACCTTGGCCAAACAATTTATAGCCATGGGATGTTACTTATAACTCTGCCTGGGTCATAGTCCTTGTTGCCATGAGGCCAGCGCCAAAGATGTCATGGTCACAGTTGAGAAAACCCAAAAGGTTCTAGAGAAGCACGGACCCTCTATTGCATATAGTCAGTCAAACTTGTTCCAATTAACCATGTCTGGATATCACAGAATAGCCTTCACTAGCCTAGGAGTCTTTGACCCAAAGATTGAAGAGCTAGCTTCCCGTGCCCGTCGTGATGTAAAACGAGGGAATGTGAGTCGCAATTTGCATTTCTACATCCACAAGAAGAACATGACCCTTCCAGTTGCTACCAGCTCCGTGGTGATCCCCATCAAGGCTAGGGTTTCCAGGCGATTCGCAGTTGCCCGCAAGCCTTGGCCAGTGTTCCATTTATCCAGTTGGATAAAAACTGCCATGGAAACGAAGCCCTTTGAAGGTTTCTTTTTACTGGCCGGTATGAAATTGGACAAGCTGGCCCAAGCTGAGGATGCCTTAGAGCTATTCTGGTCACGATACAAAGCTGTGGACCCCAATACCCCTGACTATCCACGGAGGACTTTACCCTTTTACATTCACGGCGATGAAGGTCGCTCCCAAGTGAAAAGGCCAGTTCTTATCATTAGCTTTCAGGGGCTGATGAGTTGGGCTGGAAGTGACAAGGTGAATTCTTACAAGACACTTTTAGCAAACAATTCCAACAAACTTTGCATTTTGTTTTCTACCATTTTGGGTTGCCAACTGCATAGGATGGTCTGCCTTGGGTAAGCTCCATGGATCTAAGGAACACGCTGACAACCAGAATGCTTTACACCCTCCTACCATCAGAGAACTACGCCCCGAACGGGGCGAGCACCCAAGCTTTGATGGCAGAGTTGGTCAAAGATTGCAACAAGCTTTACACTGAAGGTATCGATGTTGCCTATTTGCATTAGCATTTATAATGCATTTATATATATAATTATATATACTAGTGCATTGTCCCCATCACCAAAAACCGTTCAATCAATGATTCCCCCTGAGGTTTCCTGGAATGGTCAAAGGTTGAAGTTCTATGCCCGTTTCTGCGGGGTAAAGGGCGACTGGCCTTGGCTGCGAACTTGTTATAAATTATCAACTGGCTTTACCAGCAAAAGGATCTGCCATGAATGTCCTTCGAATGACCCTCAGCTTTTACTGGGCCTAGTGGAAAATATGCATGTTTTCTTTTCTTAAAATGGGATGTCAACCCACAAAGGATAAATTTACTTCCCATATCAGTTTGTAAACCCGAGGATTGGACTGACTTGTCACGGTCAGGGTCTACAAGGAGTTGGCCACGAAATGGCGTGGCACCATCTCCCTTCAAACCGGGCAGACGTGCTGCCATTAGGAACATGCTTCCTAGTGGTGGACATCGAACCATCCGTATAGACATAGCCCACACGTACGCCATAGCCGGCTGGGGCAAGGACCAGCTGGCGTCGCTGCTGGTTCTCTGTGCGGTTCGTGCCAACCTTTGGGGCCGGGCCGGGTACGAGGAGCAGCTCAGGAGAGCCTTTGAATCTTTTCAGGAGTGGTGCCGGGTGCATTCCAAAACCTCTACAGTTCTGGATTTCAGCAAGAAGGAGTTGAAGATTTCTTCGCTACCTGGTTTAATCTTATCCCACAATATATCGAATACACCTTGTAAAACTGCAGAGTGAATAGGGATCCAGTACGAGGTTCTAGTTATATTTCATGGGTTCTAGGGTGGTGATATTAGGGGGAATGAATTTAGACATGTAACTATATCGGGGATGGACCTGACTGTGGTCGGTTTGATTTTTATATGTTCTTCCAAAAAAGTAGAACCCTAGTTATCACTTCTTGCCTTTGCTGAGGCTTCAATCTTTTCCTCGAGGCTTGGGGAAAGGTTCTGATGCTGCGCTGGTTGGAGGATGGCTGGAAAGTGTTTTGACCCCGGTGGATCCTCAAACAGTCCCGGCTGCTTGCTGGCGATGTGATTTGTGGGCTTTTGCTAATGCAAAAAAAGGGTTGGGACATGTGCGTTGACTAAGATCATATTACCAAAGTAGGCCGGCAACATACCGTAATTAAACATTTGATATGATTCTGCTCGTTTCTGAAGTCTGCTCGTTTCCCATGTAGTGTAAACCCAGTGCACAATGCACGCGCTCTGAGGAAGAATGCCGCGACATGATCATTGTAGCGAAGTGGGGCATTGCTGCGACAGGGCGCTTCTTCAGAATCATCTATTCAGGCGAGTTGTGGCTCACCCGGGCCCAAGCACAAGCTGCAGTCTGTTCAGGGTTCAATATGATTGAGTCTTGCATGCAAGCATGGTGTAAAAAATGTGCTATAAGTTTGTTTCATTTTGTTTCTACACTTTTACAATGGGAAGCTTTCCGCTTGATCATTGACATTTGCCTAGGAGTCCTATGGGGCCCTGGCGCGGCTTGCTCGATTGCAGAAGTGGCGACTTTTTTACATGAGACCAAAGGTTCATATGAACCAGCACGTGCTGTTTCTTGGTAGCGGGCTGTGCTTTCTTGGCTGTGTCATGCCGCTAGCTACTACGGCCAACCCCAAGGCTAGAGATGGAGTACCAGTTGGCGGAGGTTGCCGAGTTCATACTCAATCCGGCCAGTTTGGGGCTTGGGGAACCCATGGTTGATATGGATAAAATGTTTAGCCACATACGTCTTTAGTTTAAAACAAATATGAAGGCTGTAGCTTATATCATGCCCACTGAGGCTGTGCAACATGGAGTGACGAAGACTATATTGGACGGGTTGCACGTGCAAGTCGGCGGCACGTCCATTGTTTAAATCTGGTTTACACCACCATGACCAAAATTTTGATTCAATACAGGAAAGAATGGAACCAAGTTTGTTCCCAGGACCGGGACTGAGGGTCCCGGCATCCTGGCAAATCTCACAAGAGCACCGCGACGATGTCAAAGTAAAAGATGTAGTGTGCGTGTGTGTGTGTGTGAGCATGTGGGCATGTGGCAAGGGGTTATCAGGGGGATGATGTGGGAAGATCATTGGTTTCCAACCACTTAGAACTAGATCGAGCATTTTTCAGAAACTTCGAGCACTGGAATTTCACTTCGCTATGGAAATTTGGGAAACGAGCAGACTTTGAAACGAGCAGAAAATAATGTATCAAATGAAGTTCTAGGTATATATATTATCGACATGGACAAGGAATATATGTGAAATAGATATATCATAAATATACAATAATATATTTATATGTGTATATTCGCTACCCCCTTGGCGCCCTAGACCCCCCCCCGGGGGGCCAAGAATGTAAAGTACAATAACCTAATTCCAACATATACCTCTAAAATCCACTACACATATAAAACTAGGGGGGAGTCAAAAAATGTAATATCCCCATGTGCCTGACGCGAATGGAGTCTGAACATTTTTGGGATACCCCCCCCTAACAACCTTTTAAGTAGGCTTAAACATAGGGGGGGAGGGATGCTAAAAATTTTGCGCCTAACGCGCCAGATCATTGGAACATTTTACAGCCCCGGGGGTGGGTTAGTGGGGGGGGGAGTTGAATTATTTAGACCCCAAAAATGTTCGGTATATTTTTGGTGTTTTTAAGTTGTTCTTAGCCTAGGTATAAGGCAAAAATGTTCTAGTACATTTTAGCCCTCTTACTTATGATTTCCTAGGAAGGGGGGGGTTATGATGGTTATAGCCCAACTTTTGTGTTTTTCTAAAATGCAGGTAATTCCACTACCAAAAATGTACAGTACATTTTTCGCCCTCCCGGGGGGTCTAAGGGAGTCGTGATTGTGTATATATATATATATGTGATATATATATATATACATCATATATATATATATATATTTAAACTATTAGATAATATATATGTACATACATATTCTAGATTTATGCATGTACATACAAAACTTATGTATTATGACTACAAATATATATATATGGAATATATATAGATATTTGATGTAATGTATAAACCGTTGATACATATTATGTTATGTGTAGAGTGTTCCCCAAGCTGTTGAGAAATACTCAAGACATCAATAAATGGCAGATCTTTGGGTGGGGGACACACACACATATATATATATACACAGAAACAATGTATTTCTTTGTGCATGAAATTATCTTGGAGTGTTTCTGTATTTGTTCAGCTGCTGGAGCCTTGAGATATACCACGCATATAGAGATAGCAGTGATCAACAACCTGGGCCAATATGGTAGTGTTTTCCCCCTGTTTTTAATAAACGCAAATAAAACATGAGCTGTAACCATGGGAATTCAATGCGGAAATGATGCAAACAACATTAATTTTTAGGGCATATTTTCAGACAAATGCCCATGATGGGCCAAAATCTGCGGATGTTGTGGCTGGTCCATGGTTTGAGTTCCTTAATAAGCCACCATTTGATTCCAGGAAAAAGACATGTACCCTCTCGGAATCGAACATGGGATAGGACAAATTCACCACAATCCACCCCAATCCACCCCAATCCACGATTTTGGAACATGTCCAAACCAAGTTAGGGGATCCATTCGCAAGTTTTCGGGCAGGTTTTAGAGCACGTCTTTGTGGTGATCTTTGCGGCCGAGCTGATGTACCGAATATATAAAGTTCGTTGGGAGTATGTGCGCCACTGGGCCGAGGGGAGGATGATCGGCTATCAGCTGGGATTTTATGAAATTTTAACTATTATTCTATCTATATATCCTAATTGGGTTTATGTCCCGTAAAATGAGCGCTAAGAACTGCTGCAGCAACTGTACTACTTGAGTGTTCAAAACCCAGCAGTTGGTTGATTTTTTTTGTTGCCCAGAGATGTTGGATTATACTACGCAATATATCGCAATATATACATACATATATATTATACACATTATATTGGGGATTATTCAATCATCCAGGAACGGGGAATCCCGTTCTTAACTCCTAGAATTTTTATCCAACTCATCTTAATGGGAACTCTAATGGAAACCAATTAAACTTATTAATCCCATCCTAATGTCAAACCTGGATAAACCCCAAAACCATTTACGTATCAGATGAAATCATGATTTGGGGAGTAGTATCTTCATAATTAATAAACCATGGTATTAGTTTAATTGTAATCAGGGACCCAAAAAGAATAGATCCATCAAGAATTGGCGAAGGGAAGGATGGTGCAGCATGAGTTCTTCAGCGCCATGCGCTGCAAAAACAACGACACTAAGGAGATGCGTGGAACATATTGGATGCTGGCCTTGTGCTGATTGCAGTCCCTCGGGCGCTGATTGGAGTTGGGAATACGTCATCCGCTAAGGCTTTGCGGCTTTCCCGTGTAAAAATCCGCATTTGTTGCGGTTTTATCTCCGATGTTTAACCCCCATGTGTTCAGGGAGTCAGCGGCATGTTTTGCTGATGAATTCTCATTTCTCGTTGCTGGTGTTGGGGACACCAAAAGACTGGATGCTATCAGCCACGATCAGTCCATCGGTCCATCGGTGTCTGAAAATTTGTGGCGCTTCGAAGTTTCTCAGGTTCTCGACCTCTATATCCTGGAACCGCTCTTTGAGAATCTTGGGAGAGAACCGCTCGTTTTCAGCTGTGGCTGTCCAGGTTTTTTGAAAAGACATAGCCATGCCATTCACAGCCGCCATTAGGCACCATAGCCACAACCCATAGCCATAGTTGAGGATCAACAGACCTTGATTTTTGATGATTTTCATGTTTCGTGCTAGGAAAATAGATGGATATACCGGTACACCCATTTGGGGACTCACACACCTTGATTTTGTTGAATTGTGTCTCTCGGTCCCAGAATTGTATGCTGTTTTTTTTCATAGGAACTCCATCTATTCCCTAATCCCCTATATATATTTAAAACAAAAAAACCAGGGTTTGGGTAGATTTCCCGTCATCAATCCATCGATATTTGGAGAAAAAATTGGCCTGATCTTTCCGGTTTGCGCAGTTTCCGCCCAGGAATACACCCACCAGCAATGCTGTTGCCTTTCGAGTTTTCCGCGTCATCAAACTCGCCGGGGCCTAATCATGGTAACCCCATGCAGTGATACCCGGTCCCTCCATGAAATGTATCTGGACCAGAATTGATATGAATTGATGGCTTTAACATTTCTAACTAGCTGAATTAGATTCGGAAACCTGCAGTGTTTTTCAAGTTCGTTTGGACGAAAAAAAGGTGGTTTCGTTGTGGTTTCCGTGGTGTCCTTTGTGCATTGGCTGTCCTTTGTGCATCGGGCACATTGGATCAATGGTGGCCATGGATGGCCATGGATCCGACCAGGCCCGCGTCATTCGCATCGTCCGAGCCTTGCGGCTTTTCAGAGGTTGGGTAGATGGGGTGATCATAAAACCACTTGGAAAATTCCTTTAAAACAGCATCAAAAAGTTGAAGCATGTTGAAGCATTGCTGTTTATTTCGTATCATTTCTTGACGTGTTCATGTCATAAAGTCTTCCATGGAATTTTGGGCCTCCATTTTCGATCCTGATGATAGCAGGATTGAGAGGCTCCAGAATGGAGTGGCTCCATTTGGGAACAGGTTGGACCATTTTTGAAATTTGACAATGTTTCACGCAGTCTCTGCAACATCTTGACATCTTGCCCGTCTACATATACTTATATAATCTTATATACCCTCTGGTTATTTAACATAGCCATGGAAAATGGCCCATTTATAGTTGATTTTCCCAGCTAGAAACCTCCATTTATAAGGGATTTTCCATGGCTATGTTAAATAACCAGAGGGTATATATATATATATATATTGTATATACACAGAATCCCTTCCCCCGTTCATATTCAACAGCCCCCTGATTTACCCTTCGTGATCCTGGAGGTCTGAGGGTCTTGGTGCACGCTTGCTGCTCCTTCCTTCCATCTCTCAGTTGGTCCATGGTACCTGGCCCGGGGGAGTTTGGTGGAGGAAATCGAATCTGCTTGGTGGTTTGGACCATCCCAATATATGTTAATAGTGGTTAATAGTGGTTAATAGTGGTTAATAATGGTTAATAGTGGTTAATAATGGTTAATAATGGTTAATAATTGTTAATAATCACTGGTTGGTGGTGACTGGAACATGGCTTTTATGACTTTCCATATATGGATGTGGGTCAAAATGGAAGACCGTTAAGGACCACAGATGTGAAAGTCTAGTTTAGTACTAACCATCCATAATTTTGGGGTACCTAATTTTGACCCATACCCATATTGGGAATCATAATCCCAACTGACTAGTATTTTTCAGAGAGGCTGAAACCACCAACCAGTCATAGATAATTATTATGATACACTGCAATGATACACTATGAAATTGGATGACATTTAAGGAGGAAATCACTATGACACTGGATGATGCAATACGATACAATCACTGAACAAAATGAATTTGGATGAAATTGGTTCACTATGATACACTGCAATGCAAGTGAGGAAAGAAGTCCTGTTCGCCAGGAAAAAGATATGCGGAATTATATAATCGCGTGGAACGCATCGAAAATAGGGGAGGGCCACAACGCCAGTATTTTGAGATTTCGTGGGTGTATATAAGGGGTTGTTGGTTATATCCCAATATATCCCCATATGTATATATATATATTATACACATGTATTTATGGGTATAACACCAGCCCAGACAGCGAGATATGGGCACTCCACCAATGGGTTCCGAGAGATCGTACGAGAGTCTATCGAGAGCTAAGGTGGTATTGACCTACGAGCATGTTACTGTAAGATCATCAAAACCTGCAGGTACTGCAACAGCAATGACCACTTTTTTGACCCTTCGGAGCCACAACACATTGGAAAAAGACACAGTGTTTTGCGACTTTTCTACCTTTTCGCGCACCTGCATCTTCTTTCTTCTGACTCTTTCTCTTCTCTGATCTTTTTTCTTCTTCCTTTCTCTTCTCTGACTTGTCCCACCTCTGCTTTTCCATCTGTCATTGTCGGAAGTTTGACTTCTAAACTTCCTTCGTTGAAGCACCTTTCATAAACATCCATAAGCATCCATAAGCCATAGGGGGATAAAAAAACACCATAAAACACCTATGACTGGGATTCAAAAAAGCAAGGGGCTTCAACATAGAACCGGGGATCTTGAGGCGCTTCTGAGTCTGTGTATGCTGTCTGGCGGTCTTCTCATGGGCAATTTGTCGGAAACTCAGTTTCGGAGCAGGAGAATGACGGAGAGTGATGGAGAGTGGCGGAGAGTGCTGATGATGTAGGAGCCTCTGGTTTTTTGGAGATACCCTCTGGTAAACAGCCACATAGCTATGGAAAGATCCACCATTTTTAATGGGAAAATCCACTATTTCAATGGTGATTTTCAATAGCAAACTGTTGACATAACCAGAGGGTAAAACAAGCAAAGGCGGACCAGGGACGAGTTGAGTCTTCACATTCTGGCACGGTACATTTGAGATTGCTCATATTGGTGATCGATGGTGATCGTATCTAATTACGTTGGAAGAAGGAAACAAAAGAGAAGAGTAAAAGACAGAAGAAAGAGAAAATGCAGCTGAGCTGAAAAGGGGGAGACAAACCCATAAGCAAAAAGAAGGAAGAGACAAGAAGAAAAGAAGAAGAAAGAAGCAATAACAAAATAATTACAATGATGATGACGACAACGATGCTGATGCTGAGGCAAATCCATTGGTCTTCAGTCGAGTGTAGATGGGAAACTTCAGCCGGTGACCGCTCCCCTGAGGTTGCAGGACTTCATCAATGATGAGTCGCAGGAATTGGAACATCGCATCCTCTCCTTTGCTTCAGGATGTGCCGGTTGTGTTCAGAAAGTGAAAAGTGGGACGCCCGAAGACAGGTTTCATTTCAATTCAGTTCGAAATGAACATTTTTCCCGATTTTGGAGGTGTCTTTCTTCATTTCGAACAGAATTGCATGCCCAAAATGTGACATTCAGTATATATTGGTACGCCATAAAACATCGTATCAATATTTGATAATTCTAGATTTAACAATTCCATCTTGGAAATGTTTTCTTTTCCCTATAAAACAGCCATGAAACATCAATAAACATCATAAGACATCATAAAACTATATAAACCCTATATGAACCTATATAAACACCATGAAACACCCATATAAATCATCATCTACCCTGGAGATGTTTTCTTTTTTGGTGGATCTGGAGCTCAGATTAGTTGCCTTCGCTTTTTTTTCAGGTCTATGGATCTGGGAGCATTATGGCACCTCCTACAGAGCCATCTATACCATGTGCCTTGGAGACGGAGACGACCCAATTATGGACACAATGAATTGATATATGGTATATTTGGGACGATTTTACCATCTATCTCAGGATATCGGACCCCAAACAATTGAGATTTTATGTTCCGACGATCTATTTCCAAAAAATAGCAACACATATTCAGAATGATATAGAATGATACTCTATGAACTTGAACCACTAAGTGGAAGTCTTTGCCCAATTGCCCCCAAAATGTTTGGGTAGACAGTCATTTTGAAGGCATCCAAGGCCTTATTCCTTTAATTTATATAGCTATTGTCGTGCCACGAATTTCTGCAACGGTTGATATCACCGGCGGTTGAACTTGGGTGGAGTCGGTGAACACCAAGCCATTGGCTTCCCATCCCTCTGGTTACTTAACATAGCCATGGAATAGATGGCCCACTTATAGATGGTTTACCTATTAAAAATGGCGATTTTCCTTGGCTATGTTAAATAACCAGAGGGTAGCTGTCCTTTCAGAGTTCCCAAAGGATCCCAAAGGAGTACTGGAAGCTTTTTGTAGGGATGAATTTGGTGATTTTGAGACATATTGCATCGAGTGGATGGACAGTTTTGTAATCACGTCCGCACAAGATTCTTCGTCCCATGATGAAATGTGTTGATATACTAATACAAATGCAAATCAGCAAGCCGGGCCATCTTCAAAAATCTTGAAAAAGGATTCCTAGTGGAATTCCAGTTTAGATTGCTTTAGATCGTCACTAACTTTGGTATTGGGCTTGCCAAACAAATAAATCGTCAGCTTGACGTGGGAAACTTTTTTTTCTGCTGGAAAAACCTTCCAATGTAGAATGGATGGGATCTGACCAAAGTGAACCAGTTAAAGGTAATGCTGGAAAAGGAAGAAAAACCCACAGGACCCAGAGAACTCTTCTACAACTATGAGACTAAAATGGTCTTTTTTTCAATGGTGGGGCGGGTGCAGAAATGATCAGAAATGCCATTCGAGCCGAGTTAATGGGTGGGTTCCACTCACTGGACTATTGAGGACAACATATTATAACCCTATTGGTCTATTATCACTCTATGACATATTATAAGCCTATGACATATTATCACATACTATTGAATAGTATACTGTAGCTATTCCAGTATTTCCTGTGATGGGATAGTGGTATTTTTCATGGCAAAAAAAAACGTGCAGTTTTTCACCTCTGCTGTTTGTGCGAGAATTGCTGCGTCTCATTGCAGCGGCAGTACATTCCAAGGAATACGCAAAGAGGCAGGAATGAAACGTGGATTGTTGGACCAAATATCTTGGATTCAAAATGACAACAAAAAGAGATGGGGAGGTACAGGTATATAACTCATTTTGTGTATTTGTGGTTTGTATACTATACATACGTGCCTGAAAAATCATGTGCATACCCGGACTCTTATTTGGTGATTTCTGATGAATTTTGTCTCAACTAAAACATACGTAGGCCCAAAACCAAAAACAAAAGGTGCAAAATAGGACGCCGAACCTGCGCCGCAGACCATGTACCGAAAAAAAATGAAAAAAGCAAATCGTGCGTCAAGGGGTCAACTATATTATATGAACATTTTAATTGTTCATGCGGTAAACTTAAACATGCACATACATTTGCACATTTTTTTGGGACACAGACATACCCACAAATGATCAAAGCATGGTTTTTTCTTTCATGTCCACTGATACTGTGGATGGTTGCGAAATCTTGCGCCAGTTGATAGATGGTTTATCCCATTATTTATAAGCTTTCAATCATACTTTAGGTGGTTTTCAGATTTCTTCGGTCCGTAGGTCAAGGTTGGGTTTCCCATGGTTCGTTGGTTGACGGTTGAGGTATGAGATGACCTTTGCTGGTCTCGGGCTCAAGGGGTTAGGGTGCCTTCTCAAGCGGTGGAAAAGCTGTAGTTGAAGCATAATTCATGAAGGTTCAACTTTTCAACGATATGCAGTATTTGTTTGGAAAAGAAACATGATAGTTCATTTGAGGAACCCATAGCTATCATTGCAATCACCCAAAAGGAACCAGGACACTTTTTGTTGGGGGTGATTGTTCCTTGAAGATATCATGTGTTGCCTGAAAGTGACAAAAGTTATCTGTTTGCAACCTGTGTCAACCTGTCCACAGTTGTTTCCCGCTGAAATTCATCATAATTTGTCAAGATTCAGGATTGTGTTCCAGATTTGTGGAGAATTGTAGGGATATACAACAGTTAACAAATCAAACATCTTCCCACGGATGTTGTTTTTTCGTCCCACGGAGTTGTTTCGCTTCTTTGGGCAAAGCTCGATGGCTTTCCCATGGTTTCATTCGTTGGATCCACAATGCAACAAGCATACACAATTCTCGACGATACTTATGAATCATCCCAAGTATTTCATTAGGGAAGAGCTTCATGATTCTATGATGATTATATTTAATTGCCGGCCGCAAGGCCGCTGGCCATAGCCAAGTGGCATGCGTCACGGGGATCTTTTGGACTTGGGTACTGAGCAGCTTGCGGTCATGGAATTAGTAGTAGTAGTAGTATTAGTAGTAGTAGTAGTAGGAGGAGGAGTAGTAGTAGTAGTAGTTGTAGCTGTAGTAGTAGGTAGGAGGTAGGAGGTAGCAGGTAGCAATTAGTAGTTAGTAGTAAGTAGCAAGTAGATAGTAGTAAGTTAGTAGTAAGTAGTACGTAGCAAGTAGTAAGTAGTAAGTAGTAGGTAGAAAGTAGCACGTAGTAGGTAGTAAGTAGTAGGTAGCAAGTAGTAGGTAGAAAGTAGTAGGTAGCAAGTAGCAGTAAGTAAATAGTAGTAAGTAGTAGTAAGTAGAAAGTAGAAAGTAGTAGCAAGTAGTAGTAAGTAGTAGTAAGTAGTAGTAAGTAGTAGTAAGTAGTAGTAAGTAGTAAGTAGTAGTAAGTAGTAAGGAGTAGTAAGGAGTAGTAAGAAGAAGTAAGAAGAGAGTAGTAGGTAGTAGTAGGTAGTAGTAGGTAGTAGTAGGTAGTAGTAGGTAGTAGTAGGTGGTGGTGGTGGTAGTGGTAGTGGTAGTGGTAGTGATAGTAGTAGTAGTAGTAGTAGTAGTCGTCGTCGTCGTACTAGTAGTAGTAGGTAGTAGTTGGTAGTAGTAGGTAGTAGTAGGTAGTAGTAGGTAGTAGTAGGTAGTAGTAGGTAGTAGTATGTAGTAGTAGGTAGTAGTAGGTAGTAGTAGGTAGTAGTAGGTAGTAGTAGGTAGTAGTAGGTAGTAGTAGGTAGTAGTAGGTGGTGGTGGTGGTAGTGGTAGTGGTAGTGGTAGTGATAGTAGTAGTAGTAGTCGTCGTAGTAGTAGTAGTAGGTAGTAGTAGGTGGTAGTGGTAGTGGTAGAGGTAGTGGTAGTGGTAGTGGTAGTGGTACTGGTAGTGGTAGTGGTAGTCGTCGTAGTAGTAGTAGTAGCAGTAGCAGTAGCAGTAGCAGTAGCAGTAGGAGTAGGAGTAGTAGTAGTAGTAGCAGTAGTAGGAGTAGTAGGAGTAGTAGTAGTAGTAGTAGCAGTAGCAGTAGCAGTAGCAGTAGCAGTAGCAGTAGCAGTAGCAGGGGGAAGGGGGAAGGGGGGAGTGGACTTGATTCAGACGAAGCAAAACCCCGCAGCAAGAGAACAAAGGAACAAGTACAAGCCAAGAACAGAAACAAGAACAACGCCTTCCAATCAGACACGCCGGCAGGCCGGCGGATTGAATTGTGATAGTATATGCTATTCTGTTTTTTTGTACATCATAAACCACAGAACGGGGATGGATTATGATCCCACATGATTGGATGAATTTTCTTTCAGCCTCCCAGGAAATTGGCCCATCTATGCGCGGCCAGTGCTTGAGAACGTCAGCCATATTTTTGTGTTGTTTTACATTACGTAACTTGGGATGCAAGAAGCGTAGGAAGGGAACACTGATAAAAATCACCAGACATTGGGAGTTTGGTCGGCTGGAGTGACTTTATAAGTTTATACGAACATTTGATAAGTAAACCTTGGTGAGTTCTCGGCTTTTGCCATCAGAATTGATCTGCCACCATGAAGTGTCACTTCGTGGGCAATTTTGGATATTTGTTTGTTGACAAACAAGAATCACAACCCAGGCCTTAAATGATGGGGATACCAACCAACACAGTTTGTCACTCCGCCAACACCAAATTGAGGATGCAACGGTGTAATCAGCAAACTCAGAGTGAACGTTTTCAATGCCGGAAATCAGATGGGAAGAACAACAATTGGTTGGTCCGTGGTTCAAGTGTTGGCTGGAATTCCACCACAGAAAGGGGAAGATTATCTTCAACATTATTATTGAACGGATTTTTGGTATTGTTGAGACCACCCAGCATGTAAAAAGATACCTAAACTCACGAAGTGAAATAAAAAAAATCAGCAGCACGTTTGCAGCATGATTTGCCTTCATGAATCGACGGAAGTAATTCTCTGCACTTCCTGAGATTGTCTTGTGCATTTTTTCTGGGTAAATTATAACGACCTCACTACGACCTCACTGGAAATCATAGTTAGTAAGGGGAATCATCCCCAAATGGCCTTAATTCAGGTTGGTGAAATATTATAATTTACCCAGATTTTTTGCTTGTGTGTATTGATGATCTTGGCAAGCAGAAACAGAAATTGGTTTCGTATTGGGACTGGGTCACCGGGCGTCATGAGGTACATTACATTCATTGTCTTCGCGGCAGTGAACTTAGCGACGATCGGACAGTTCATGCAGTGGCAAACATTTGGACCATTCTTTAGATTACATTATATATATACGTATATAATATACACATGGTTTGTAAATGTTTGGAATTGGGTGCAAACCGGCTATAGTGACTAATGCCAGTTGCACGGGGTCAAAAAACTTTTTTTTTTTTTTATGTTTTCGATTTTTCATTTTTTTATCGATTTTGTTGACGTTTTTTAAATATATTTTTTTGTGGAAATTGTTCCGTTTTTTCCTTTTTTTTTGCGATTTATTTCAATTTTTTGGAATTCGTTTTGGAATGCGTAGATTGTATTTTTCAGTTGTTTTTTGATATTGTTTTAAGCATTTCGGATTTTTTCAGATTTTTTCAGATTTTTTTTTGGCAAGGAAAGCAACTTTTAGGAGTAGTTCTTTGAGGAGTATCCCAGGCTTCTTTAATGAGCAACTTCTATCTTTGGTACTGGTTTTGTTCCAGAAACCCAGCGTTCAGCCGGTCAGGTCATCAGGGTCATCACCGCCATTTTTTTGCGCGAAACCTTAGAGGAGGGGACGAATTTTCGCCAATGGAAACCATGTCACTTACCCTCTGGTAAACATACAAAAACTATGGAAAGATCCACCATTTTTAATGGGAAAATCCACTATTTCAATAGCCATTTTCAATAGCTATTTTGACATAACCAGAGGGTAAACGAAACCAGCGGGCCGCAGGCGGCGAACAATGACGCCGAACTCATGGTACAGGACGACCTTTTTGGAATCCGGAAACGTTTTCGGATCAACGATACGGTATGTCTGGAAATTTGGAATATCGAATGGCCAGAATTGATCACATATGACCAAGGGACGTGATTTTCTGAAACCATGATAAACCACTGGATTTTGGGATTTTTCCCCGGATTTGTTTTGAGACAACACCATGTCTATCGCCCACTTCAGGAAGGGCTTCGCCGGAAGGCAACATACATCCACAAATTGGAGAGTAGCCAGGCTGCAAGAATTGGTTCCTTGTACCCTTCGGGAATCAGCCAGGTGGCTAGCTGGAGAATCCCCTAGAAGGTCAGGTTGGTTTTGACGGAAAAATCATCGAATAAATCTGGACCTTTCCAGCCATGTTTGGATAAGAGGAATCCAGAGGGTGTATATATGTATATATAATTTAATATATATATATACACAACTGGTTGGTGGTTGCATGAAAAACCCTTGGATTTGACAAGGATTAAATGGGGATATAGCAACTAGTCTGGTGATTGGTGGTTTGGACTTTGGACACTTTATTTTCTTACCAAACCTATTTTTGCGGGGTTTCCGGGGTTTCCTAAACTGGGATACTCAAAAAAACAAGTGATTGCTCTTTGCTGAAAGCAACGGTAAAATGGGGTATCTCAATTTTGAAAAACAGCGATTTGGGATGATGACCCCAATGACGATAATTTTAGGGATGGTTTGACCAATCAGATAGTAACGTTGGGACGTGCCAAGTATCCAACTTTGCGCAGTGAAGAGGAAAGGCCAATAGTGTAAAGTGCTGTGATAGGACATAGTTCCAAAATGACGAGTGGATAATTGTTGGCTATACTAGTCCCATCTTTATAAATACATGTATGTATACACTGACATATATGTTCAGTCCCTTGATATCCCCATCAATCCCCACAATGTTTGTGGATTGAAATGGATTGAATTTTTGCACCACTGTTTTCCGATGTCAAGATACACCAAGGTATTTTCAATGCCGTGGATGAGAGTCAAGATGGCTTGCTGAGTGAGGATGAATTGCATCTCGATGGCTTGTCAAAAAATGCTGGCAGTGATGGTGGATAATGCAATTTTACCCTCTGGTTATTTAACATAGCCATGGAAAATCACCATTTTTAATGGGAAAATCCACTATAAATGGCCATTTTCAATAGCTATGTTAAATTACCAGAGGGTAATTTTACTCAGTGTCTTTGGATTCATGTGATTCATGATGTACGCGCTTCGAAGAATTATAGAAGACAGCAACCATGTTGGTTACCGGTTTGTCAGCTGATTCTTGACAGCTGGGTGATCGACTTGTTTGTCTTCCATAGGACTGGACTAGGGTTAATCTACCAAGAGGCGCGTTTTTTCCTATTCTTATCATACTGGTTGGTGGTTTCAAACATGACTTTTATTTTCCACAATATATGGGATAATCCTTCCCATTGACTAATATTTTTCAAGATGGTTAAAACCACCAACCAGCATATATGTGATAATTTCCTGATATATTTTGTTCTGCTTGTCCATTGTTCTTTGAGGATATTCTAAGGGGTTGCCTGACCGATCTTCCTGGTCATCCTGGTCATCCATGGCCCGAGACTTCAGGAATGAACTCTTCAGGGACTCTCGAGTGATGACATATCTCGAGACCCTTGATATTGATGTGCAGCAGTCAGATGCTTGGGCGAAAAACAGCAAAAATTTTTCGACCATGATGATATGAGATATCCATAGATATCCATAGATATCCATGATGCATGGCGAAAGGTTTGGAGAGACCCATTAGTCCTCCATGGCGATGTTGGTCTGTCGCTCAACTTGGTCGATTAGTTGAGCCTTGGAGAATCCGTACTTTCCATGGCACGGCTTAGTTCTGTGGGATTCCCAAAAGAAGGTACCCCTACTATTTATCTCGTGGTTGATCAACATCTCCCCTACTATTTGATGGTCATGTCCGTGATGTTTACCATGATGTACCCCCTTTTCAGACAGACTGATGTGCAGTTCTGGGAACTTCAAACTCCTTGCGATCATGTGCTTGCTTATATCTTCGTAATTATCCCCATGATATTATCATTAATGGTTACATAATCACCATTCATAGATGGCAAACCCAAATCTCAGACACCCTACGGGCCGCTTTTCTTCGCCTGAGGAAGCTCTTTTCCATCTGTTGGCCAATGGCCACTTGCTTACGGGATTTCTGGCGGGTTACAGCCAGTCCCAGAAATTTCGGAATGGTGGAAGCTCATTAAAGTTGTGTAATATTATTTTTTGAGATTAGGTGAATTCACTACCATAGGGAAGCAACCATGATATCATGGCTATTGGGATTGAACACGATTGAACAGTTGGCTATGGGGTTGGCTCAAACACCTGAAGCCGATAAAGAACGAGAAAGATAGGTCGCAAGTACTCACAGGACTTGCAGGCGTAGTTTCAGACTCAAAGAATTACTATGCATACATATATATATATTATTATATTATATTATATTATATTACATTATACTATATTATATTATGATTATATTATATAGACAGATTATATATATACACAATAAGAATTATAGTAATAATATCACTTATTATTAACACCCATGAACAATTCCTGTCAGAGTCCATACTTAGTCATGTTGAAAAAGTCATGTGAAAAGTACTTGCACAGGGCCGAATACGTGCCAGCGTTCACGCGAGGTTTGAAACAGCACGGTGTTTCTTCCCTTTTGCCGATGATTTCCCTATGATTTCAACCAATGCTAAGCTAGTGGTTTGGGCTGGAAATTCTGGTGACTGCAGAAAGTTTTGGGAAATTATCCCAAGCAGGGTGTCATCACAGGCACTTCGTGACCTGCACCACCTTTTTGCGTTCGATGTTTGACATTGCTGGTGTCTGACAACTTGGGATACACTCCAAAAAGTATCATGTTAGACAATCAAATTTGAATAGCTTATTTTCAGTTTGTGAATACTTAGTGATTCTATGATACCCCCTGGTAATTTTTCACATAGTAAGATAGCTATTGAAAATGGTCCCATTTTGGCACATTTACTAAGCGCTGCTTCGTTGCGTGTGGTCGTTGACCAGAGGGTAAGCCTTCCCAATCATCTTCAAATCCAGGTCACGGGGAAATCACCTGTGCGGACTTTATCGATGGCATTTTGCGGTGCAAAGGACCTGCAAGAGCCATTGATCAGAGCCTTGGAGATGTGTTGGAGATGTGGAGAAGAGAAAACTTGGGAAAATCATTGGACTTGGTTGACTTGGTTGCCAGTTGCCAGTCTTAAACAATATAGAAAAGGCAACTGCTTGCCAAAGAACAAGTCACACGTGACAGCGCCTTACAGTGAAAACTCCAGAAAAGGTGCTTGCTACAGAATCTTTTGTGTGTGATTATATGATGTCTTGTTGGGAGAATAAACATCACACCTCAAAGTGTTTTTCCAAATAAATAGATTCGAGGCAAGCGAATTGCGATATCCAAAGAACAGCATTTTTTAGTGATCAGTCTGGGAAATGATCCATAGTTGGGACTTGCATTTTGTCGTTTTTCTTTCCTACCCGGAACTTCATTTTGTACGAAAAAGACCCTGTGTCCCTCTGGATTGTACAAACTCTCCGCACGGACTTCTCCGCCCAAATGTCAACGGGGTTTGATTTGAATGTCAGGGGATATAACATGATATAACATGGTATAACTAACATCCAGATATTTGGTATCGTCTGAACATGACGTGTATGTGCTCAATCTATGGCCTTTTTCATAGGTAAACTGATGATCTTATAACAAGCCGTTGGATTTGGGGTCCAGTAGGTTTCAGTCAAATCCTTTGGTTTTCGCCTTTAAAAAAAGGACACCATTCATTTTGGACAGTGACCGGATGTTGGAGAAACACTAAATGATTACACAACAACACTAAGTGATAAGATATGGGATGATCCCAGGGTCTGTCTGAACATGGTCTACCCGGCCTGGTTATGTCAACAGTTTGCTATTGAACATTGCCCAGTCGAAATCGTTGATTTACCCATGAAAAATGATGATGTTCCATCGTTATGTTGGTTTACCAGAGGGTAAATCATCATTAATCCCCATTAATCACCAAAAAAATCCCTCCCAATTCAAGTGTGTGGTTCATTATCATTTCCCAATTCAAACACGCATTTTTCAGGATCTTGATGCAGAAAGATCTCCGACATTTGGCAGAACGAGTCAGGCCGGCAACATGTGGCCAGGGAAGGACATGAATTTTCATGGTTTAATATTGAACCATTATTTCAACATGTTGAACGTAAAAATGAAGAAAAATGATGCGAAATGCAAAGAGTATTTATATTCCATCAAGAATGACTCTTCGTTTCGCTGAAGGCTACTGCGAGGGATGAGGCTGTACAGGATCCTAGTCCTAGTCCTAAGGCCAGAATTGATTCAGCAAAGTGGATAAAAGCGGAACGTTCCAAAGGGGTCCCAATCATCCAAACGAACATCCCCTAGCAAAACATGTGAGATTGTTACAATATGTAAAAATCAAATCGCGGAGTGAACCTCGGTTTGTGGATGCTTCTAAGCATGCTGAGCATGTGGAAGTTCTTTGGTGACGTCATAGTTGAAACGCATGTTAGACCCTTCTATTGCTGAGCAGATTTCTCCCAGTTTTAATGCGAAGTATTCCAACATCATGCCTTATACGGCAATACTACATAAAATATCATTCTTGAGAACCTTCTCTTTGCCCCATTACGATTGCCAGGGAATGACTGGCAGTCAAGATCAGAGATCGGTACTGATCGGTTGCGGCAGAGGTACTTGACCGAAGCCTTGGAGAAAGAGAAGGTCATTCCGAAGAGGGTCACCAAGAAAGGAAAGAAGATGATGAGAAGCAGGCGCTCCAGGCTTGCTGATGAGCTTGTGTTCCTTGGCCGCTACAGGACCTTGGAGAAGATTTTATTGTATTTTATTAAAGTTGAATCTTTGTTGGGATGCCATATATATATACTGATGATATACTGGTGATATGGAAACTCTGTGTTTGGCAAAGATAGCAACATATTTTTCCGAAACAAGGCACAGCTGGTTTGCTGCTGGTTTTCAGTGTTCAGCATATTCAGCTTTGCCAGTATAGGACAGTCAGAGCTTGCACGGGATACAGTAAACAGGAGCCTCCATGAGCCGATAAACAGGGGAGGCGAGTGTTTTTTTTGTTTTTTAAATATTATTATTACAACTGGTGAAGGACTACTGAGCCATATCCTCTGCATGTTCACTGCATTGGGTATATAATGGTGTATATATATATTATGATATTATATAATATATATCTTATGTATATCGCATGTAAGTGTAAACAATCACACGTACATTTTGTAGAAATGTATACATTCACATGAAAACTTGGTCACCTAATTATTAATTATCGAGTGCTGCACAGGATCGAAATTCTCAATGCAGCTCAGAGATGATGACAACTCGTTTCGAGTTCACGGCATGTTTATGTAACAGCAGCCCAACTATTTAAAGGCAAGGATTTAAGATGATTTTAAGCATCAAACATTGGACATAATCATGACATATCATGACTATTGAACCCCAGTTGATGTCAATTACTAAACTTGCGTATCGGTTACACTATAACCTAGCACCATCTTTCATTTTGAGGTGTTTTTTTCACAAACGAAGCACCAACAAAAAAACACCGACCTTGTGCGGCCATTTCGCTTTCCTCTGAGGTTTTTGGGCCAGACCGGTCGCACTGACACTCAACGGTATACCTCCTGAGCCGTGACGAAACGCCACGCCACGACTCAGTGTTTGGCATTTTTGTTTGTCTTTTTCGTCGTCGAACTGTGAGATCCTCGAGAGAACCGCAAAGTCATTGATGGTTCAGAGGCGATGAGCCATGTTATGGGGGAGTGATCCATTGCTTCACCATTTTCCCGATTCAGCCATGTTATGGGGGATAAGTATGGATAAGTCACCCATTTCCAGGTTCAAAGCCAAGTATTCCTTTGTAAATCCATCTTTGGGATCGTACTCGAAGTTTGGGACGCTTTATCAATTTCTTAGGTTCCTTTCACCATTCTTTGTATGGGTATTTCGTATTACTACCCTACGGATCCCTAGGGTAAATGTACAGAAAAATGTGAAAAAAACAAAAAAAGGTGAAACACCATGGGAAAATGATCTAGAAATGGCGGATTTTCGGCCATCGCCAAGTAAGCCCAAGTTAGGTCAGAAATAGCCATCCTTGAAGGATGTGCCAGTGAGAATGTAAGCTCCCTGGATGCAGCGACCATATCTCCAAAAAACGCTTGCTGGAATCGCATGGGAATGTCTGGGACAACATGGATAGGAATGTTGGGTCGGAGGATGTTTTTCATGGAGTGATGCTCTCTGCAGAATCAGATGTTTGATATTTTTGGATCTTTGCATTTTACTTGCAAATGCCAATGTTTCTTTCGGTTTTGTACGAAGTGCAACAGTAGCAGGGGCCAGAACAATTTGATTCGGAATTGGAGACCATGTCTTTTTATTTTCAATCCACATCTAATATAACATGATTGTTCCCACTTGACGTGAATAAATTGGAATATTCTAGGGCTGGAACCATCATGCCGAGAGTTTTTTTTGGAAGATTTTGGGGCATCCAGTGCGAGTACGCAAGCTGCGCCGGGTGCAGCAGAGTAACCAAACAAATCGCAGCTGAGTCGTTCTTCTGGGCACACGTTTGGAAGCAGATATGGGTCGGGGACTTAAACCATTTGCAGATATCTAAGACTATATAGCAGATCCAAAGTAAATGGGGGTGGCTCAAAATTCAAGGCCGCACCAATGTGTCAGCATTCTGTCTATGCATCAATTTTCTCTCCCACACACAGGTCATGCAGATACATTCCATGTACCCTGTGGCAATCTAAGGTAATGGAAGATGGCAATGGGACATCACCCATTTAAGGATTATTTTCGAAATGGCAAAAAAAAGCTCAGGAATTTCTCAGCTAGCCACGTTTGAGGAGGAGGCTAATTCCATCAATTTCCATCAATTACCACGACTCACATATGGATTATTGACCATTTGTAACCATTAATCACCATTTATTAGCCATTATTAACCAACTATTAACCATTCTAATGCCGGTGTGTGATGCGACTCAGCGTAGGATCGTTGAAACGGACCGTTGAAACGGGCCGAGTTGTGAAAAGCCGGGCGCGCCGCGCGAAAAAACACGTCACACGGATGTCCGAGACTACGCCCCAACGACTGTTTGAACAAAGGTAGTGTGGCAAATCCAATGCCAGAAACACTCAGAAAGCTGCAATATTTGGGGGATGGTTTACAATAATTACACCATCTCTTAAAAAAGAAAGGTTTAAGCAACAAAAAGCTAGCGACCAAGACCCTCTCCTGAAGACGCCCCTCAAGATGATATGGGTGAACATTCCATCGTGGGCTGAAACTGGGGGTACTTTAGATAAAATCTGGTGGTAAATAGATGTTCATAGAATCATCAATGATCATCATATCTTTCCCATGCATAAAAATATATAAAAATAGCGAAATCTTCCGAAACTCTGGATGGGAAAGATCTCCTTTTGGCACCAACCCCAAGCTCTACGAAACCTGCCAGGCGTCATGAAGCTCTGATGGATGCCGTGGCCAAGGAACTGGCGGAAGGGGTAGGGAACTGGTGCGCAAGCCCAGCTGATGTTTGATGGTGTTTTCATGAGTTTTCCACTGGTTTTCAATGGTTTGAATGGAAGTTTGGTGGGGAAATAGTGGGAAAGGAAAGACTGAACACTCTGTCACACGTAAACCACCGGTTTTGATGGGATTTTAATGGCGATGCAGTGATACAATGAAAATTTAATATAGTGATTTAATATGGCGAGAATTCATCATCACCCCTGCTTTTTTTTGATGGAGAATTTCATGGTTAAGTCTCGCCCTTAGGGTCGAATCCCCATGATGCATAGAGGGGGTCAACCTGCTTAAACTACCAGGATCCAATAGGTAAAATGGTGATACATGATATACCAAACCGGCAGCTCTATATCGTGAAAATCTATGTTTATCTTGCTGGGATCAAACTGGACATTCCTATACATGACTTAGTTGACCCCTAGTTATTTGGAGTCATGATATTGAGCTATTTGAAGATGCTGGCTCTATATCTTTTCCCACAGTCCGGTAACCGGTAACCAGAATTTTTACGACTTGAGGCTTAACATATGGACCAAACCAGTGTCACGACCCGCTTCTTGAAGGATAGAACATGCTGAACATGAGAGCTTTGAACATCTTTGAAGCCTAGTGTCGTAGTGTCACCAGGAGCATCGGAATAGGGGGATGAACCAGTGGATGAACATCCAATTGAACCAGGTTTTTTTTTTTTTTACCATCCCCCAAATAAGATGACGACCCTGGGCCGAAAAATGGGGGTTGGAAGACTTCCAACTTGACAGTGGCTGCTCTCAGAGTCAAACTGTCATTTGGGGGGTGGTGTAACCAGTATGAAATTTAGGAGGGCCATTCTACAATCTTTTTTTTTTCGATTTTTGTTTGATTGTTTATGCTAAATCCAGTTTTCATGACCGTAAATCCAGGGCCCTATACCCTACGGGCCCTAGGGTGACCCATTCCAATAGCTTTCTCTTTTTGGCTTTTGAGGTCTCAGCAAAACTTAGCCAACATCCTCTGGGCTTTTGCAAAGGTCATGGTTCAGTGCGGGAACTTATAAAGGGGGGATGGAGAGGGAACTCACAGAGATAGACTGGATGGTTTTAAGGATTGACGGGTAGGTGAATGCTATTGTTAACAAAATTGATAAACTACAGCTACAACATACGTACTTAGTACACACAGGCACACATAGTACATGTATGTACATGTGGTCATTCAGAACATGTAACACTACTAGGTGTGAATGGAAAACCCATGAATTTCGCAGGGTGCTCAGTTCTGTTCTTCTCTTGTCTTCTCTGAACACACCGATCCAAACAGGTTTGAACTTGGCTGCATTTGCAGCACTTCACAGTTTGACAGACCATTTTCAGATTACTCAGCAACTCCATTCCATCTGGTTTTTGTACATTTTTCTGGGAGAGATACCCTCTGGTAAACTAACATAGCTATTGAAAATGACCATTTATAGTGGATTTTCCCATTGAAACTGGTGATTTTCTATAGTTATGTAAACGTTTACCAGAGGGTACTCCAAAACTTCAAGTCTTGATTTGGAAAAACAGTGATGATCCGATGGTGAAGGCTTGAAGCCAGCAGGATGTCTGAGGCCCCGCCCCTCGCGTGCCATCCAAGCAGTAGCAGAAGATGTGCTGATGACTTTGAATGTGCGCATCCTCGAGTCGATCTGGGAGTGCTGAGATTGCGGGTATAGGATGGTATAGGTATATAGGATGGTATAGGGTATACAGAACCACCAGAACCACCCCCTTGGGAAGTGAACATCTACTGAATCTACTGGGAAAGGAAAGGCTGGTGGGAAAATAAGATCTGTTGGAAGGGAAAATAAGGGAAAGTACCAATCTGGGACAAAAGCTGGAGCCCTTCTGTATCGATGAAGATGCACAAAACGTTGGCATGTTTTTTGCCATGCTTAGTCTTCTCACTTAAACTTTTGGGTATTCGGATATAGATATAGATGTTAATATGTAGAATCAACGTACTGAGGCGTAGTGGAATCCTCATGTGTGCAACGCAACGATTCCATCCCCAGTTTCTGGGCCAGTTTCCATTGGAGGCCTGGAGTGCTTTGAACATGGCCAACCTCACCTGGGCCTTTGCAAAGTTGTCCCTTCGTCATCCCAAACTCTTTGCTGCAATTGCCACTCAGCAAGAACCGTGGGCATTTATTACGCCAAAAACCGCCAAATGCCAAACATGTCTCACTGGGAAGGGTGGAAACCCACCATTCAGACATTGCCAAACTGAACTGATGGGTTAGTTTGGATTGCAAGGCTGGTGGTACTTTCTGAAGTCTTTGGGCATCAGCAAGGGTTGCCATTATTTACACTTGATGTATCATATATCCCAATCATGGATCCAAAAAAAAGTTGCTCAGTTTCAAGGATTGCCCACTGAAACCGGACCATCCTCCAATCCAGATCCTCCAATCATCTGGCCAGGAGCGGGAGTGCCAGCAGAAACTTTGGAACTTTTCTTCTCAGAACTTGGTGAATGTGGCCTGGTCTTTTGCCAAGGCCAACTTGGGGATCTTGGAAACGCTTGGGGTGCCTACCCTCTGGTAAACTAACGTAACTATGGAAAATCACCAGTTTCAATGGGAAAATCCACAATAAATGGTCATTTTCAATAGCTATCTTAGTTTACCAGAGGGTATCTCTCCCAGAAAAATGTACAAAAACCAGATGGAATGGAGTTGATGATCAATAGCTATGTAACAAATCACCAGAGGGTAGATGATCAATGAATTGCCTTAGATGCAGCTGCTGCACATGTTGCTCACTCGCCGAAGACGAGTCCATCGTCTTGGTGAAGTGGAATTTGCGAACATAGCATGAAGCCGAACTGCCCCATGTTTCGAATATATGGATGTGGGTCAAAATGGAAGACCTAGGGAACCATAGATGTTAGTCTAGTTTAGTACTAACCATTCATAATTTTGGGGTCCCTAATTTTGACCCATACCCATATATTATTGCAACATGATATCATATGTTTAATTTATATACGTATGTCTATATAATATATTAGTTAATTATATTACATTAAGTCAATCTATGTAATCTACGATCGACCTTGACATGTGTTCTGACCTGTTTTTTCATTTACCATCACCAAGAAAGGAGGCCATTTTTAGGTCACCGCTGAGGATGTATATATATATACACATATGATTATATATGTGTATACATGTATATTCTAATCTAATCTAATCTTATCTTATCTTATCCTATCTATCTATCTGTCTGTCTATCTATCTATCTATCCATCCATCCATCCATCCATCTATCCATCTATCCTTCTATCTATCTATCTATCTATCGATCTATCGATCTATCTATCTATCTATCGATCTATCTATCTATCTATCTATCGATCTATCTATCTATCTATCTATCTATCTGTCCTATCTATCTATCTATCCTATCTATCCTATCTATCCTATCTATCCTATCTATCCTATCTATCCTATCTATCCTATCTATCCTATCTATCCTATCTATCCTATCTATCCTATCTATCCTATCTATCCTATCTATCCTATCTATCCTATCTATCCTATCTATCCTATCTATCCTATCTATCTATCCTATCCTATCTATCCTATCTATCCTATCTATCCTATCTATCCTATCTATCCTATCTATCCTATCTATCCTATCTATCCTATCTATCCTATCTATCCTATCTATCCTATCTATCCTATCTATCCTATCTATCCTATCTATCCTATCTATCCTATCTATCCTATCTATCCTATCTATCCTATCTATCCTATCTATCCTATCTATCCTAACTATCCTATCTATCCTATCTATCCTATCTATCCTATCTATCCTATCTATCCTATCTATCCTATCTATCCTATCTATCCTATCTATCCTATCTATCCTATCTATCCTATCTATCCTATCTATCCTATCTATCCTATCTATCCTACCTATCCTATCTATCCTATCTATCCTATCTATCCTATCTATCCTATCTATCCTATCTATCCGATCTATCCTATCTATCCTATCTATCCTATCTATCCTATCTATCCTATCTATCCATCTATCCTATCTATCCTATCTATCCTATCTATCCTATCTATCCTATCTATCCTATCTATCCTATCTATCCTATCTATCCTATCTATCCTATCTATCCTATCTATCCTATCTATCCTATCTATCCTATCTATCCTATCTACCCTATCTACCCTATCTACCCTATCTATCCTATCTATCCTCTCTATCCTATCTATCCTATCTATCCTATCTATCCTATCTATCCTATCTATCCTATCTATCCTATCTATCCTATCTATCCTATCTATCCTATCTATCCTATCTATCTATCTATCTAATCCTATCCTATCCTATCCTATCCTATCCTATCCTATCCTATCCTATCTATCCTATCCTATCCTATCCTATCCTATCCTATCCTATCCTATCCATCTATCTATCTATCCTATCTATCCTATCTATCCTATCTATCCTATCTATCCTATCTATCCCATCTATCCTATCTATCCTATCTATCCTATCCATTCTATCTATCCTATCTATCCTATCTATCTTATCTATCTATCTTATCTATTTATCTTATCTATCTATCTTATCTATCTATCTATCTATCTATCTATCTTGTCTATCTATCTTATCTATCTATCTTATCTATCTATCTTATCTATCTATCTTATCTATCTATCTTATCTATCTATCTTATCTATCTATCTTATCTATCTATCTTATCTATCTATCTTATCTATCTATCTTATCTATCT